CAGTGATGACTCCCTTAGGGTCAGGCATCTTTAGCTTCAAGTTGGTGTAGTTGGGGACATCCATGAACTTGGCAATGCACGGTCAGCCTAGGAGAGTGTGGTAAACATCGGGGAAGTTGACCACCTCAAAGGTGAGTGGCTCCTTACGGAAGTTGTCCGGCTGGCCGAAGGTGACGTTGAGCCGGACGCGCCCGAGGGTCACCGCTTCCTTCCCCAGGATGATCCCATAGAACGATGCCTTGCTAGGGTGCAGGCTGCTCCACGGGATGACCATCTTGTCTAGGGCCCTAGCATAGAGTATGTTGAGGTCGCTGCCCCCATCCATCAGCACATTGGTGAGGCACGTGGTGCCGACGATCGGGCTGACCACGAGCGGGTAGCGTCCCAGGTGAGGAACACGATCGTGGTGATCCCCTTCGTCGAAGCTGATGGCTGTTTGGGACCATCAGAGCCACGTCGGAGCGGCGAGGGTGTGAACGACGTTCACCTCTTGCTCGGTGATGCGGCACTACCGACGAGACTCGTATGCCTAGGAGCCCCCGAGGATCATGAGGTAGCAATCGGCCTCAGAGAACTCAGCGTCGTCCTCTGGGGCGGCGTCCACTGGCTCACCGGCCTTTGGGCAGGCTTCAGGGCCTTGCCCTGCTGGCCGAGGGTGCCGCGGATACAACCCCTGATGGTGGCATAGTCTTTGAGGAGGTGCTTCACCTACCCCCTATGGAATGGGCAGGGGCCTTGAGCGCCTTCTCGAAGTGCTCAGGGCACGCACCGTGTCCATGAGGCAGAGGCCTGGTGGCATGATCAGCTGTGGCCACCATGTCCTCCCCGTGGCACTTTCAATCCTTATTCCCCTTACTGCGATGATGCTGGGACAAAGCGGGGTCATCGCCAGCATCCCCACCACTGAGGTGACCAGTAGCTTTGGCCTTGCCGCTGAAGTTGGCATGGACAACCTCCTCACCTGTGGCATACTGGGTGGTGACGTCCAGGAGCACCCAGGTCATGCGCGGGGTCTCGCGTTTGAGAATGTGGATGAGTGCCTCGCAGGTCGTGTCAGAAATGAAGGCATTGATCACCTCAGCGTCGGTGATGTTGGGGAGCACATTGCGCTTCTTGGAGAAGCACTGGATGTACTCCGAGAGGGTCTCATCGGCCCTCTACCTATAGTTTTGGAGGTCCCATGAGTTCCTGGGCTGGGTGTCTGTACCCTAGAAGTGACTGACGAAGATGGAATGGAGGTCAGCCATGTAGCGGATGCTACCGGGATCGAGCTGCTCGAGCCATGCTCTGGTTGGGCTAGATAGGGGCAGGGGAAGGTTTTGGATGGCGAAGTTGTCGTCTGACCCCCCGGCCCTCATGGCGAGGCAATAATCCTCGAGCCAATGGTCTGGGTTGGTCTCGCCGTCGTACTTGGAGATGTACATCGGTGGCCATAATCGCCTAGGGTAGGGGGCCGCTCGGATTGCCGCCCCAAACATCTAGGGGCCAAAGTGATCCATGGTAGCGCCCTCGCCCCTCTGCTCGGGATTGCGGGACTATGCCTGAGCGTGGCGCCTGGCCTCGATGGTGTCACGGACGTCACGGTTGTCGCCAACCCAGTAGTACGTGGGGGGACATTGAGGGGAAGGCTCGCAGTTTGCTCCTGCTTGGGCTTGGCGCCCCTGGTCCATGGGCGGCCAAAGCTACTGCCAAAGGAGTCACCGCTGCTTCCACCCATCGGTAGGGCGTGCTCATTGGAGCGGTCCCCGTTGACGTTGGTCACCAGTTGGGACCGCTTGGAGAACGCAGCAGGATGTCGGGAGGCAGAACTCTCGTCCTGCTGTTCGAGGGCGACGTGGAGAAGCCGTATTGCTTCGTGTCGCCACTCGATGGTCTTCGGGTCCGGCGTGTCGGAGATGTCCTCGAGCCGGCAAGCGGTGGCCGCCATGTTGTAGGCTGCTCGAAGGAAACATAGGGTGCTAGGCGCCCTCGTGTGGGCGTCATCGTCGTTGCTAGGAGGCTGCATGGCTTGTTGCCGCACAAAGTCCTTCTAGCTCTCGAGCTCTGCCTCGGCGGTCTCCAGGTCCACCTGCCGAGCTCATAAACGATCCGCCTTCTCCTGAAGGTAGTTCGCGTGGCTATGGGGACTCAAGTATGGCGGCGTGAGCTCAGGCGCCTCATCGGCTAGAACCTCACCATTGATGTGGTAGCACATACACGGTGGGGCGTAGCAGTCGATGTCGTTGGAGTCATACTCTGGGCCGTTCCCCGAGAGGATCTCGAGGAAGGTGCACAGCGAGGGGACATCAGCCCTCATGGTGCCAAAGAGGATGGTGCTCTAGGGCACCTCATGACTGATGAGGTGCTCCAGCTCTAGCGAAAGGACGCCGCCGTATTCTGGATCCTGAAAGGCAGATCTAGGAGGTAGTACCAGAAGCGGTCAGGTGATGGGAGCACCTTGCCGGTGGTGATCTGGTGGTGGACATTGGCCAGCATATAGAACATCTGGCATCAGTCCGACATGGTGGGGTATGGACCTAGATCGTGTCGGATCTGCTAGGCTAGGACCTCGAGATCTACTCCCAGGAGGCCCGACAAAGGGGGTGGCGCTAGGAGCTCGTTGCCCACCGGGGTAGCCCCGTTGAGCGGACGAAGCTCACCGTAGCAGTTGATGACATAGGCTTGGTCCCAAAGTTGAGGATCTGGCACGGAGCGAAGGCGTCGGCTGTGATGAAGAACTCACTAGGGAAGCGGACACCGCCGTCTTCGGTGGTGCCAGTTGCTCTGGCGATGAGTCGGGTGGCTCCAGCCACCGTAGAGCCTAAATCGCACTTGACACTGCCCCTACCTAGCGTGCTAATTGTCATAGGGTCAGAGCCATGGCAAGCATTATTGTTTGAGTCGGTGTCAGAGTACGTGTCTTCGATGGCTTAGGTGGACTCAAGAACACAAGAATCATAGAGGGGACGCAACGGTTTATCCTGATTTGGGCCGATCGGTGCCCTACGTCCAGCAGCTGATGTTTCTTATACTCAAGAGCACCCAAAATCGGGGTGTTATAACAGAGTGTACAGGAGGAAGAGAGATACTTGATAGGGGGTTAGCTCGGTGCTAATCCTGAGGTTGCCTTGCCGCCAGTGGAGTCTTCCCCTCGTTAGAGAGGAGGAAGACGACATGTGTGGTGGAGGAGCTCTCGGTGCCCCTCTCTAGGTTGCTCTGTTCTCGGTGCCGAGCAGGAGCGAATCAATGAGGAATAGAATGATCTGTCTTGGATCGTCCTCCCCCCTCTAAGGTCCAACCTTATCCCTTATATACCGAGATAGGTCAGGTACATGGCGCTTTGGGGGCATGCATGAGCCTATGGTCTACGTTCGCCGGAGTCCAGGAGGGTATTACAGCGGTGCACTATGGACCGAGGCAATGTCGTGGAGCCGAAGAAGCCTTGAGCGTCGTCCGGCTGGCCTATTCTCACACGCTGAGTGTCAGGCTATGTTGGCTTGGACCGGCCTCCCCCAGGCGTGCCTTCCAGAGTCTTCCTGGTGGCGAGGGAGGCCGGCTCAAGGGGCTGACATGTGGTCCTAGAAGCCCCCAAGCCCCTAGAGGCCGAGGAGAGCTTGTCCTCTTGTGTCACACCCCGTGCGTGACCTTGTCTGGGGAGCGGTCGGCAAGGCCGCGCCCATAGTGCTGCGTCGAGGAGCCCCCAAGCCTCGATGGCTCGGGGCATGTCTTCTTGTGTCCGGGCCTTGGTGGGTGTCGTAGGTCGGGTGGAAGTTGAGGACTGATTCAGGTTCCCTGTCGGTTAGGAGCCTGAAGCTCAATCTAGCCCCCGAGTCCTGACGGTTATAGCCCCCAAGCCCCTGGGTGATCCTGGAGGGGTCGTCTTGGGGGTCTCTTCGGTCGGGAACCATAGATCATAAGGCTTAACATACCCATATGTTAGGATCTCGTCAGGATTCCCCAAGCCCATCATGGCCTCACTTGGCCTGGTTCGTGATGGCGACGAAGGGCTGAATTCGATCTTCTGGTGACCGAACTTGTCTTGGCAGGAACGGTCTTCGCCGACGATGGTGCGATGCCCTGCTTGAGGCTCTTCCCCCAGTGTGATGGGGGTGCTCGGCCGCCAAGGCCGAACGCCTGTGGTGCTGACCCCTGTTTTGACCCTATGTCACATAGGTCTGCAGCCTGAGCGATGGTTCGATGAACTCGTCTGGGAGTTACCGACTTTATGCCCGGGGGCACCCTTCTTTTTGGTCAGAGCCTACCGTGGGTTGGGTGATCGAGAGCGTCTGGGCTCTGGCTCGGGGCCACCTGATCACCCGGCGCGCCACGCCCTTCTGGGGGCTTCGCTACCTGGCCCCGATCCTCTCGTCCTAACCTTTTGCGGCCATAGGTCGGGGCACAGGGAGCGCACCGAGCTCGGGCAAGGGGCCCTCGTTGGGTTCACGGCTCAGCGGGTCCCGACCCAACTCCGGGGAGTTGGTTGGTTTTGAGGGTGCGCTGCCTGAGCACCCGTCAATCGGGGGGTCGGGTTGCTCTATCTGAGGAGACGGCGTAGCCCCCGAGGCCGTAGTGGGGCCTCCTTGTCAGCGGGCGCGGTTGCTTCTGGGCACGTCCCGTCCGCTGGCGCTCTATGTAGGCGGTTGATGGCGTTTGGGGTGCTGTGGCCGGCAAAGGAGTTATGGCATGCGCTCCCTCACTGTCCCACTTCTTTTGGGAGATGGGACGTTGGGCCACGTCGAGCGGATCTAGCGGAGGAGAAGCCGCGGCATTTGGTGCGCGTAGATCCAAGCCATTGATGGCGGCCGGTGGTCCCGAGGGGAGTCGGATCCTCTCATGTCCCGTGAGGAGGTGTGCGCGGAGTGGGCGGCGCGCTTGGTGGAAAGTGGAGCGGGCACTTGAGTCGTTGTCAATGCCCTCCTAACTCCGTCTTTACTGCGCGGCCACCATCACGCAACCGCTCTAAGGCGTGCTGCGGGGATCGGAGAGGCGAGGCCTTTTTAGCTGTCAATGACTTACTATTACTACGACTGTATATAGCATTCATGCATGCATCATGTCAAAATACAATGATAAATGAACTATATCTATCACGTGTGTGTGGTACCAGAGATGAAGATTACTACACTGCTGCTTACCACAACTAGGCATGCCTCTGAAAGCGGCTCGTCGCGGTTCATCCTGTCCTCGACGACGCCTGCTGGTTGTTGTGATGGTTCATCCTCGTCCAGCTGATTCACCGTCGTTTCGGCTTCAAAAACGTTGATTTCTGGGTCCGGCCGTGGCGGCGGCGGCGGCTTTGCACACAGCTTGGTGGCCATATCGTACTGGTCTTGGTCGTCAAAGTAAGCCTCCATGCCGCCATGGTACCACCAGTAGTGTCGTCCTCGCCCCACCCTGCCGCCGGGACCCAAAGCAAGCGGCAACATAGGGAAGAAGGGCAAGTCATCTAGCCTGCTGTCGACATGGGTGACGATGACGTTGGGGCAGTACGTCCTGCAGATGCAGCATCGCTGGTCGTTCTGGAAGAGACGGATTCTAATGGAGCAGCCGATGTAGACGTAGCGGTGGTGACACCGGTCGAAAGCCATCATTCAGCCTTGTTTAAATGCGCATATATTCGACTTAATCTACATGTGTTGAAGTTGATTGGAGTAGTATTAAACTAAATTCTATTTTATTTCACTCTAATACACGTGGATTGAGAGGGATATACATGGGCTCCATGCACACGCAGCAGCACCTGGTATAGGTTCCGCGTCTACGACGTTAATGACGATGTGGCTCTTTTGGACGTCTTCTGCTGGTTGTGCCATGATCAATTACTCAACGATTATTTACTCTACGATTAATGGGAGTGAAAAGGCTAGGCCCGTATGTATAGAAACCTGCAAGGGGGGTTCTCGGGCGCCGAACCTTTCTCGAACGCGGGTAGAGATCCGAGGTCGGTCTGTTCTCGGGAAATTCCCGGTCGCTGTATCGTCGTCACGCATCGCATCAATCAGGCGTGCCAAAGTACGTATATAGCGAATTGAACTAGAGTGGATCGGTGATATCCATACATGGTTCCATGCCGATAGATCCCCATGAGAAGCAACCATGAGCCCATCATCAGGCAACGCAAGCAAGCTGGCCGCGCCACCGCCAAGCAAGAAAAATTTGCAAACAATTACGGTTTCTGCAGGCAGGCACTGTACGTGGAAGGAACGGCACGATACACCCGATCACGTACCTAAATCTACCGTCTAGGAAAAGGTTGGGAGTTGGGACGCCGTACCTTTCGATCTGTATACAAACTAGTGACAAAACGTGACCAAAGCTAGCTTCAGACTACATACGCGTGGCTTCTTCTTTTTTCTTTTTCAAAGTGTGCTTCCGTAACGTACTACATCTCTTCTCGAGCTCTCTCTGGACTCTGGGACCGGATTTGGTTCTGCCTTGAACCTGCGGTGGAAGATCGTTCGTTACTAACAAATTAAAGGAAAAAGTCTATAAGACCCCTGGTGTTTGGCTCGTTGACTACTTAACCCCCTGAAGTACAAAACCATGTATCCAACGCCCTAAAATTTGCAAAACCATTCAAAACCCTCCCGTCCTGGTTTTGCTACCCGGTCTTGCTCACTTGGCGTTCCACCGTGGCAAAGGATGACATATTGGCAAAGGGTGCTGTATGGATCGGAGTCGTGGTGAAGTAGCTAGTGTGTATACACAAGAGTAGAGCGTGTGCATGGCGTACGTACGGGCAGTCGAGTACAACGCGTAGGCTCAGCGGATGATGTAGATAACGGCCTCGTACTTGGCGCGCAGCCGGGGCGTCGTCGCTGCAGCTGCGCACTGCCCCGGTCGAAGATCTTCCTCTGGCTCGCTGTCCGACGAAGGCATTGGACCGCAGACAGGAAGCGCAGACACGGTTTGGACGCGACCGAGCACTGCTTCCTGTGCGACCAGGAAACAGAGACCATCGATCACATAATAGCTTCCTGCTCGTTCTCCCGTCAGGTATGGTGGCACATCCTCGAACATCTTGGCGTGGACACTTCCAGGATCGGCGGAGACTCCATGCTATCATGGTGGACCTCCTGGCGCAGACGGTGGATGGGCGACAAGAGGCGGGGAGCCGACTCCCTATTTGCACTTGTGGCATGGGAACTTTGGAAGGAGAGGAACGGGAGGTGCTTTCGCAACGGCTCATCATCGGTTCAGCAGTTGCTCGGCCACATCAAGCAATTGGCGGACCAGTGGATTGACGCTGGAGCACTCAAGTTAGGTTGCTTAATTCGTGAGTAGTCGCCTAACAAACTCTTTGCTAGGGTGGCATGCGCTCATTATAACATTGTAAGGCCACCTAGTGCGCTCGCCTTGCGGTGCGTCGTTGTAAAAAAACAAATTACTTCTCGATCTTAATACAAAAGATGCACAAACCTTTTGTGTATTTGAGAAAAAGAGTGCAAAAAGACAAGGGATGTGTTCACCTATGCGTTGTACCTGTACGTACACCATGCGCACGCTCTACTCTTCTGTATACACACTAGCTATTTCACCACGGTGCCGGAGCCCCGGGGTTGGCGCTCTCCTCTCCCAGCACCCCACGGAGGCACGGGCACGACCACGAGAATGTGAGGCCCGATTTCCGAGTCCCTGAAATCCAGCTCCACCGCGCCGGAGTCAGCGTCACCACCGTCTCCCGCTCGGCTGCTCGTAGGAAGGACGGTGTGAGAAGGGTGCCAGCGGCAGCAGCGAGCCAGCGACGACGAATGAAAATAAGCCAGGGCGTGGGGCGGGTGGGTGGGCGGGAGCACCTGCGGGGTGGAAGAGGAGGGAGGAGTTGTTGTTGAGGTCGATGGCGGCGGCAATGTGACTGCAGCGGAGCCGTGGGCGACAGCGTGCTCGCCCGTGAGGATCATGTTGCCGGCCGCGCGGGTACGTGCTTCCACTGGTTCCCTATACCCCATCGTGCCGGCAACTGGATCCATGACACCGGAGAGAACGAGATCGAAGCAACAGGAGAAGGCCGGTGGCGTTCTTGGCTCTCGAGCTAGAGGTGGGTACCGGTGGTGTAGTGCATCTGCTAGCATCGCCAGTCCACATGGTCAAACGGGCGGAGCCGCCAAAGCACCTATGTGCGATGCAGCAATGTTGGATGGGGAGCGACAGCAGATGGAGGAGAGTCATGCTGTCTGCTCATGGAGGTGTGTTGGCGTGAGTGGAGGGATATTTTCCTCCAGAACCTGTGTTGTCCGCTCATGTGAATTTGCTGTCTCTCAAGATACAAAGGGCCCACTGCCAGCATGTCATCCTTTGCCAGGTGGAATGCCAAGTGAGCAAAACCGGGTACCAAAACTAGGGCGGAGGGTTTTTGAATGGTTTTGCAAATTTTAGGGTGCTGGAAACATGGTTTTGTACCTCAGGGGGTTAAATAATCCACATGCCAAACATCAGGGGTTATACAGATTTTTTCCCAAATTAAAGCACCGCGCGTGCATCAGGGCCTCTTTGGATGAGATCCTCGGAAAGTGTAATTGCTATTTTCAAATATTAAATCATGCTATTTGTTTTGATGTTCATCAGCTTATGATTTAATATAATGTTCTATTATCATGTTTTTATCCTTCCATTGATTATTTTGTCCAATTTTGACCAAAACTGATGCAAGCCGTTATGGGATATCATTCTAGTTTATACCTAATATTAAATTAAGATGGAAATGATTCTTCCGTCTGTCTTTTTTTTACTTCCCATGATGTCCTCACACCCTTCGTGTCCCATATGTAACACGAAACCATGACCCATGTTCAAACGAGTTAGAATAGTACGCGCTCGGCATGGTATGGAGTCTGATTCGAAGACGCATCAAGCAATGATACAAATTAAAGTTCAATTCCAAGACGTAAAAGAGAACAGACCACCGTTGAATAAATCTCCGAGCTGTAAATTGTCTAGATGACCATCAACAGCTAGTACATTTTGTTACAATGCATCTGCATGTTTGGTAGTAATTAATAGCATTAAATCATCAAAGGAAAAAATGGTTTTGACATATACGCCATTCTTAATGGAGAGTTTCGTGCGTCGTTTCTAAGACTCCCATATCATATAAAATATGATTTCCTCAAAAAAATATGAAACATCCATTCTTAATACATTTCATTCTATAGTTTCATAAACATTTAATTTCATGAGTCATATAGAGTTGGTAATCGTGCCAAGCACTTTTTCCTCCTCTTCTTAAAAACATTGCCATATCATAATAAACACTTATGTGGCAGCCTATTAAATACAAATGAGTAACTAATAATTTTATTCCATGAAATAGGACTAGCAGCAAAACATAGGACACCGGTAGTACCATCCAACTCTGGATATGCTGAATTGCTAATATGCATATGGTCCAGTAGTCAAGAGGTTGTTTCGGTCTAAATTCAATGGTTCAAAAATGACTTAGTCATAAACATTATAAATCACCTTATATCAAACTAGAAGGGAATATTATCTTGACACAAGCAACGAATTTGGTTCTATCTCTCAATTAGTGATCATGTAGAACGCGAGGAAAACCCGTGAGGCGCCACTATGTATATTAGTTTGCTTGTCAAATTCAATGACCTCAAAAACTGTTGGCTGGTTATCTTCAACCGCATCACATCACATCACATCAAGTGACAAGTGGTACGGATTAGCTCAGCTGCATGGACATTGGACCGCATTATGGACATTGAATCTAGGAAAAATCTTGAACATTATAGGAGGTTATATCTTGATGTTTAAATACCTACAATAAGTTAAGAAATATAATATGTAAAAAGGGAATATAGTTCTCCGTTACAGTGGACAAACTACCATACAATCTTTGTCATCCCATGTCCATTATTTCTTTGAAAGCCAATTCTGGAAAGTATGTCAAATTATGGAAAGTATGTCATGACTAGGGACGGGAAGGAGGGGGAAAAAAGCTCCCCTATGTTTCGGTACTGCTTTAGTTATTTTTTAGTTGGTCAAGGTTCATGCTAATCTTAGTGTGCAGCAAAAAAGCTCATAAGATGAATGTTGTCCAACAAAAAAAATATTATACTGCGATATATTGATATGACCTGACTCACTAGAACGTGACGGTGACATTACTATGTTGTGTCTGCTAGTTCACAGTCACCTGATCAAATTGTAGTACATCGGTGATGGAGAAACCAGTTGTTGGGCTACCATCATTGAAAATAACATGGCACTGCAACCTAGTATTTTACTTCATATGTGGCCACACAAAATCCCTAATCATTGAACATCGTGCTCCTGCTTGAGGATGCCTTGGGGTCGTAGAACATCAGGTGAAACTACACAGAGATGCCCACACCACATTCCACATCAAAATGGACACAATTAAATTAATTTGTAGTTTGAGACACGTCCATGGACTTCATAACGTCCTGCAAGGACGAGGAGAGGAGCATCACAAGAGCCATGTACTACAATAAGGACATCTTGGCTACAGGTAGTGCTTAGTCTCAACTGCACATGGTGTGCTTCCAAATAATTGACGAGCTTGCAGTCAAATGCCTTATGGATTACGTGGAGGAGAGACCCACAATGGAAGAGGTGG